ATGTTGAATTGCTGTTGCAACGTCATTAATATGATTAGGCTACGAAACGTATAAAATTATAAATCCAAATAAAGAAAAGTGGCAGCAACAAACGTGGTGAAGATTACGCTTTGATTGATTTAAACACACTTGGCTAAGATTCCGTTCGGATGTCACATTATACCTAATATTTGATAGCGTTTCAAATGCATTTGCACAATGCCATTAGTTCTTATAGTAGAATTAATCCTGGCAAAGATACTCTTATTATCTAGTTGATACAGTCTTATTTAAAATCTAACGACCTCAAGGGATAATGGGAACAATTGCCTGTGGAAGTATTGCACGATAGTAGAGGATGTTGGCAGTTGTGAAAAGGAGAACTGACCGCTTGCCAACACCGCTTTTGTGACAATGGAATTGTATCTAAAGTCTAAGTGAAGCACACTTAGAGGGGCTGTCTGGTTTAGTCGCTTGTCACTCATCTGTGACTATTTATGTCGAACAGACCAATGAGTCAGCATATGAAGACTACAGATTTAAGACAGACCCAAATAACACCCCACTCAGCTTTCATATCGAAGTCACTTTCTGAAAGCCAAAATCCCCAACAAGAAATAAACTTACACTAGAACTTTTTTCAAGTCTATATGAATTCAGGGTACAATTGCTGAAGACATCTTCACTAATAGTCCGCAATGTGATACTACCAATTACTAATATTTCAGGGAATTCTTGAGTAAAAATCAATATTCGAAGCATGTATTTAGAAGTTTCTCGTTAAAATGACAAAAGGATTAAGGCGAGTTAGTAGAAGCGTCACTGCCCTGTCAGCTGCGAAAGGAAGTAACAACGGGGTCAAGAGACCTTGGTAGTAAATAGGTCAAGTAGGCTTCTCATAAGAACCCAACACAACCACAAGCAAGCTAGTGACCACATGAGCGTTAATTTCAGGAAACATTGTAAACTCAGAGTTGTTAAAAGGGCACTGGCATTCTCCCAAAGATATAAAAACCAAGAGAAACTTTTCCCTTCAGTCAGACAATATTAACTGTTTTCATATAATGTTGATTTTGGAAATCCTTAAACTTCTACTTGGTTAAAAATTTAACTTTCGAATTGGGAGCACAATATTATCAAAGTTAAAAGCATGCGAAAACACCGTAATTTGGGATTTTCAACGAAACTGGTACGAAGTTTTGGCACAATCTTTCGCATGAAAGTATTGAAAATTTCATTAAATGAGCAATTGGTAAACAAGTAAAACGTAAACAGCTTTCTTCGAAAAATTATTTGAATTTAAAATGCATTGATTTATTTTGCACTTTTGAAACAAATTCCTTTAAATGATTAGAAAGGCGTTGGAGATAAATTCGAGAGAATATGGATTTATCTTCCTGCAACACGTAGTTATATAATCCATTTTCGACATCTACTTACAACTGAAGCATTCTTTCCGGTCCTAAAACAAAACGAGAAAACGTATTAAGAAATCATTTGTGTTTGTGGGCGCGGCAGTACGAAGTTTTCCAGGTGCGAAAATCAATATCTATCAATATCAATGGATCCGAGTAAGCATTTTAACAATAGACAACAAGCAATTAGAGTATGGCTTTAATGTAAGCAGATTAATCGCTATTTCACCAGTCCCTGCTATTTCTAGTGTTCTGTCTTCAGAATTCCAATTTTACCAAATAGAATCAATGCTTGATTTAGTTAAGATTGGATTTACTCATTATTTTATTTATTTATTTATTTATTTCAAATGGCAGGCATTTTGATAGTTATCATTAGCCCTTTAGTTGACTTCGGGCTTCACAGAAGGGAGGCACGTTAAAGTAAGAAGAGAGATTTACAGATGTAAAAGACAGACAAACACAAAGGCAGAGAAAAGGTAAGATGAGTACTGTGAAAGGGGTCGGATATGACATGCAGTGGGGTCATAGTAGTTTGAAGTCAGAGGTCAACTGCCAGTTAATAGACTTTTTTGCCGTATGAGTATACGTTGCCCAAGGGGCACCACGTGGAGGTAAGTCTATCGCACACCCCATTTACTCATTACTGTTTCAGGGTTTTCCTTCTAAGGAATGTAATCGGTCCCAGAACTCAATTGACCATCATCAAAATAGATAATTCTGCAAAGAAGCAGGAATAAATGACCTCATATCAATGGATATCTAACCAAAACGCATGTTATCATAATTTCCATGTCAGTTTATGATAAAGTGTTGGTCCAATTTGCGAGACATGAAAGCCATGGGAGATAAAAATGAAACGATCACTTATTTATCAGGCAAGCTACTTTTTTATCTTATGCTATAGTAAGTCGCTCTATGCTTTGAAGCAAGTCGAAGAAAGTGAGGATCAAAATAGCCGAATAAAAGACACAGCTTGCCGATTTTATATCTTCTTAATTTTTATATGTTAACTTAAAAGAAGGCAATCACTAACACCTCAAAATTTCAAGGAATGATATGTCTAAGGCCAAACTTACTCAAACTACGAATTAAAGTATTTATAGTCCTTGATTTCATGACGGAAAACCCTCAATTTGCAGTAACTTAATATTGGATCAATTTTGACAGATACCAACGTCGAGCACACGACATTACCTATTAGTTTGTGAGACATTCCACCAATGACCAAATAGAAATCCTGATATAGAATATTACTCAGAAATATTTAGCTATTAATGTTCACACGAATCATGCTAGAGTTATCTAATAACTAATCGCTTTGTCAAACACACACTTCGCTATTAATATACGTACCGAATAAACGTATTCCGTGCTACACATCGAATATACGTCCTGAATAAACGTGCTCCGTGCTACGCGTCTCTTCCCTTATAGCTGGGCTATAGGTTAGCTTGTTCTGGGAGTCTAGGGTTCTGGGAGTCTAGCTAGATGTTGGAGAATCTCCCATTGAGATTTCTGAGTCAGTCAGGCTTTACTAGCGTAGCCAGAGATTTCTGAGTTAGTCAGGCTTTACTAGAGTAGCAATATTTCTGAGTCAGTCAGGCTTTACTAGCGTAGCAATCCGTGGAGCTATAGCTTAGCTGTTCTGGGAGTCTAGCTAGATGTTGGAGAATCTGCCATTGAGATTTCTGAGTCGGTCAGGCTTTACTAGCGTAGCAATCCGCTACAAGTTAATTGGACTCACCTGGGCTGACAGAGAAATTTAAGTTCATTACTCCTTTAACTTTTAGACTCACTTCTACCCTCTTTAATAGTTTAAAATGACTCCTCTAACACCCTCACTCAACCACTGCAGCGCAGCAATAATAGCTCTCACTTTGATGTGCCATGGTTAATATAGACCACCCCAACATAAATAAACTTGCTAGGTTACTTAAAAAGGAGGAACAATAATTATCAAAAGTAAATCTGAGAGCACACGTGGAGTTGAGCTGCTAATCATGAATCTCCAGGATTTCAAGTTTTCTCAACAGTTTAAAGTTTTAGAGTGATTTTTTACTGAAAATCGACAAATCAAACACACTTGACTGTACTTTATTGATGGATCTCATCCACTTCGAGGTGTCTCAATAAAGTCCTTCTTCCTTTACCTTCAAAAGCCTTCAGAAAGTTTGAAACTTAGAAATTGAGGATAAAATATGAACAAAACTTTTTAAAATCTATTTTGTCTATTCTTGTTTACTCACTTGTGCATTACCTCAAATTCAATTCATTTGTTTATTGACCATTCACCAATCAAAATAATTCGTAGTTGTAAAAGACATTAAACCGGTTCAAATTAATAATTTATTTGCTTTTTTTCATTTAATGCACAATTAAAGTATGATAAACGTGCCCATTTGATCGAGCAATAGAAACAGCCTATTAACAAAGCTAAAATAGGCCGAAACGAAGAATCAAGTAATTTAAATCAAGAAATTTGAACGCAAAGAGTGTTAACAACGCTGAAATTGCATCAACAAATTAAGTAAAGCGCACATCAATTCACGAAGCACTTTGCCAAAATGGGACTAGTATCAAGAGGAGGTGAGAAGTGGAGAAAGAGTGGGGGCACAGAGATAAGTTGAGAAGAATATTCGTGCCAAGGTCGAATGAAAATGAAGCGGTAACTCAGAAAAAAATCAACATGGCAGGTTGGAATGCATAAGTTCATTGTTATTTAGCCAATTACTAATCGCTTTACAACTGATTCTGACTTCTAAGCGCTGTGTTGATTTGGTGCGAAAGGGAGAAGGAAAATTCGGTTTCAGTCGAAGATGCTTGCTCAGAAATTGAGAGCAAAGGTCAATGCAAGAAGAGTGAGTAGTAGTGAAACTGCTTTCGACAATTCGGAGCTATTTCCATCGTGGAAAGTGGCAGCTAAAATTAGGAAAATAAATGGATAGTCTTAGTGGAATAGTAAATCGGACAATCCATAAATCTGATGTGAAGAAATCAATCTATGCACCATCAGCTGTGCACCTTTTCAAGTTAAGAATATGACTAAAAGGATGATTTGGAGCAGTTGACGAATGCTTTGCAGATATTTATCTAGCATGCGTCTCCATTGAATGATAAATGCATAGCTGACGACTCTGTGCAATTGAACGGGCTAAGGCTCATGAATGAAAAAGTTAAGCAGATTATCGAGAATTTATTTTCTTCTTTAGCCTATATAAGCTCGTCGTCCGCCTTTTGTTCACTTTCAACGATCAATATTAAGAATTAAGATAAAATTGGATCAACTGTATTGTCAATTATTGTAAACAAGTAAAAAGATAAACGAGCTCTGGCCATAGTGGATTTAATCACACTTATGAGACTGAGTGACATATGAGGATAATTGTTTATTATGAAATCAGAATTAGAATTCGCCTGTTTTCATGAGAATTTGACAATCCAATGCTTCGATTTTTACTACCCTTTTCCCATTCATGCCATTTTAAACCTGCTTATTGTGCCATAATTAAAACACTTTCATTGCACCTCCAGTGAATCATGTCAACGATTTTTTCAGCCAGCTTTGGAAGACAAAGGGGTTAAACACGGCATTCTCAAATGTTCCTAATAACTGGCTATAATGCAAAGGAATATATGACCAATTAGTAATGCGCATTTTATACAATTACCTCGAAGAGAAGCCGAAGGTGGCAAAAGCAGGAGAGATGGATCGATTTTAAGGGAACCTAAAGATACAAAATTTGTGTAAGGCCAAAAAAGAACTGCAGTTGAGTGGATAAATGGTGTGCTCAAATTACTGTCTTTCATTGTTTTGAATTTTACATTCGGTACTTGAAGATCGAATTCCGTGCAATCGTATTCATTGCATGCTCGAATGTGGACAGTGTGTTCGGAATCGTGAGCCAAATTGGCCAAGTGATGCCAAAACTCCTGAATCTCCTCCGAAGAGGTATTTCCTTTGGCCACCAACGGATCGTTTAGTGAAACCGTTCTGGTGTCTTCTGCTTCCGTACCATCGTTGTACTGAAAATAAAACGAATAACAAATGTGAATTAACTTATCTTAAAAGACAATAGCAATAGTTAAATATACAGGATTTCTATCTTGTTCATGAATACAAGCTAATTAAAGAGAATTCATGAAAAGTAATGAAACTGAATGTCACCATACTCGTGATTATTTGATTTCAGGATAAGCAAAACATAGAGAGAGTTTTTATGTTGGGATTACCATAATGCTGATCATATTGAGAGTGTCTTGGCTCTAAGACACCAAAATATGGCTGCAGTAGCTAATTGTCTAAATAGTTTATAGGACCAATAATCAATAAACTCTTATAATAGTCCCTCTTCATTCAAGATTCGCGCCAAATAAATGCCACTCTCGTCGGTACTCAACACTGTCAACTATTTATAAATGGTTATGAAATGAGAAGGAAACTCGAAATGGTTATTGTGAGTTCATGACTTAATTATAAACATAAACCAATAGTCAGAAGCATGTAAATTAACAATCGTGGCTTATTTAAGTTGTGGGGCACTTCATCAATGACCAAATAGAAATCCTGCTATAGAACACTACTCAGAAATATTTAGCTATTAATGTTCACGCGAATTGTGCTAGAGTTATCTGATAACTAATCGCTTTGCCAAGAAAACAACACATTTCGCTATCCTTATCTGGTGAATAAACGTTTCTGTGATACGTCTCTTTCTTCTGGAGACTCAGTAATTAGGAGAATCTATCACAAAGGTTTCTGAGACTTAAGCCAGGCTTTACTAGCGTAGCAATCCGCTACAAAGTTTCCTCCAATTTAATCATCTAGCCGAAAATGAATCGTGAAGTTTTCAAGTAAGTAATGCTAAATTGATTATAATTGATTTAAATTTAAAAGTCGGGAATAAAATGCTTACAGATTTAATTTTGATTGTAGCATTTTTCATAATTGATTTAGACATCGATCTCCATCCCAAAAGGTAGTAATCAGCATGGTTGGAATACGGAGGGGAAACAACCTCTGGTTTGGATGGAGTAACTATAATTCAACCAAAATATTAGTGTTACTTACAAATGTAAGTAGTATATATAAATACCAACTTACGCGTAAATTTAAGGTATTTGTTATCGGTGCCAAATTTATTTGTTGCCGAGCACATGTGATTTCCCAAATCATTAGCAGTCACACTGTTAATGCGCATGACATATCGACTGAGTCCTGGTTTATCGTCTGGAAGTTCTACTATTTCACGAGGTTCTGTTATGTCAATGTCTGTGCAGATGAAATCAGGTTTCGGTTTTCCATAGACGGTAATCTAAATAATATTAATAATAACAATCATTATTTCAAATAGCATAATCTCTAAAAATATTGAATTTAAATACAGGCCATGGAATGCTTACTTACATTTATCTCTTCATTAGCTTCCAGGGCTGTATAGATTGGATTTGCACTGAAATTTATTTTAGGTGGATCTAAATGAGGGCAAAATAAACGAGCATTATTTTCCATAAACTGGAGCAAAGTTTGCATAAAGTAATGAGAGCTGCTGCTCAATATGCCCTCGCTTTGGGATGCAGGAAAGGAGTGTCAAACAGTTGGCATTGGCCTATTTACTCCAATGACTCATAGTTATTTCTTTAAATTGAGGATTGGTGTGACTCATTAGGTGGGAAGAGGTAATTTTGATGGCGAAACTGCAGTAGAGGGGGAGGGGGGGGGGAAACTGGCTATGCTGAAAGAATTCAGGCAAAACGGCAGTACAATTCTTGGTTTATGAGATCATAGTTTGTAAGCTCAATAAGAATTTTACTAAAAAACGATTAGTTATAGAAAAGTACTTGAATCCGCATTTTTTTAATAAATTGCTCTTTAAGAGTAATTATCCGATAATTTTTACTTGACATACAAGGGGTATCAGCTTTGGTCCTTTGTCAGATGAAGTATTGTGGTTTGTGGAAAACGAAATGATGCAAGAATAGGTGACTGAGGTATTTTTAAACCGAAAACAGACAGCTCGCACAGGTTTCCCATAATTACATTACGTGTGCGGTTCCAAGTGGGTAGAAAATCCTCAAGTCATTAATTTTCTTGTAAGGGTTCAAGAATTTGCTGTCGCTTCTTATTCCGAACAAAAAATAATTAATAATTAGATAAAAATGAAATAATTCTATCCGATTGTTCGGTCATTGGTTAACTTATAAATAAATAAATAAATCAGTAAGTAGTAATACAGTGAACATTGTATGCAGCCTTTCAAGCAGTTGAGTGATAGTCGTGAATTTTGGTATTAGTGAACATTGAGGTTAAAAAAGGGGAAATAACCAGGAGGCCAAGTCATTCACAGATTAATGAGGCAGGAAAGTGTGTTAAAAAGTCAGGCATCCGTGAATAAGCTTTCAGCAAGAGCTAAGGCCACTGCTGGTTCTTGAACAATGGGCACTCGAATAAAGATGGGAATGAACGTTTTCGTTTGCGCTCCCTAGAATTGCTTAGAGTCTAAACTCACCGGGATTAATTTATTTAAACTTAATACTGTTAGAAAGCCTAATCAGATAATATTGTGGCACCTAGGCAAAATCAATAGGCTTTGCAGTCAAACAATCATTTTTGTTGACAATAATTGATTGAAGTGATTCTTGAGTTTTTTTATTGCTAATTCAAATGCCTGTATTTGTAGAAGTGAATAAATGTAGTTCATATCTTACTTTAATTTTATTTTGAATTATGTCTAAGGCCAAGCATCTAATCAGATCATAATTTTTAATAGAACTTCAAACAGTGGAGCGACGGGAGAGAGCATATTCGATAAAACGGAGTAAAGATTACGTCTCCCCGTCCCACCGACTAGAGGGAGTGGGGTGGGGTGGGGTGGGGTGGTTGGGGGGAGAAGGGGGGGGGAGGGAGTGTATCACACAGACCCTATCACCTCCTTGTGATCGCCAAAATCCACGCGTTGTGTTTGCACAAAAATTATTATTGACCAGTTATGATCAGTTTTATCCTCATAAATGTGTGTTATTGCCACCTCCTGCTGTTGTCCTTCTAAGCCGCCTTTTTTCCAATGAGACAACAATTTACACTGATAAATATACATGTGTGGTGAAGAAAATAAGCTATTTGATCTACTTTAAAGTGATTTTAAAACTATCACTTCATTTTAATGCAGTGACCTTCAGTCAAACTTTAGGTAAAAAATGGGAAAGGAAAATTCACAAACAAATAGGCAATTATAACAAACGTTTGTTTCTTTATACACTTTAAACCATACATGCCCATATTTCCTTTACACAATACAAACAGGCTTTTTATAATTAATTAAGTGAAGAATTGAGGAGATAGAGCGCTGTCACTCACTTATTGCATTTGCACCTTAAGGGCAAAATGTCTGGACAATATATAGGCAGTCATGGAATTCTGAGAGCCATAACTGAGTGCCAAGCGGAGTGAAGATCAACCCGAGACATGTCCATATTCTTATCAATGCAATCGCTACGTAAGTTGATGAGAAAATGCGAAGTTCTATCTCTGCCAAGGAGGCTATATGGACTCTCTAATATCATTCATTTTATTACTAACTAACGGGATACTTGGCATTCAATATTTGTATTAAATAGTCTCAAAAAAACGAATTACTTCTTTTCAGTCAATTAACAGCCTATTTTTTGTGTGAGCTAGGACAGTTCTGGTATGTTTGAATTGCCTTGCCTACAAGTGAACCAGGGCGGCCACAGACATTCATTTGGAATCCACTGAATCAATCGAGAATATTCAGAATATATTACAAAAATCTAATAAGAGAATTCGATCCAGAATCATTATTGAATTGAGAACTTATTATTATTATTTCAAATGGCAGGCTTTATGATATTTA